CCCTCCTCTCCACGGTAACGTAGCGCTCCCCGCCACTCCCCTCCGCGGTGACGTAACGCGCAACGCTAACGTAACCGTAATCAACGTCCTACTGTGACGTGGCACTCATTACGCCACAGGCAAGCACTGCAGCTATATAAGTGGATGCACAGTGCGTATCGATCAGTTCGAGTTCGAGTTCCAGTGTGGCTACCGCCGAAGACATTCCGAGTTATAAAGTAACAGCCAGCCGACTACAAGTTGGAGTATAGCAGCCGTCGCGGAAAGAAGATCCGGACGTGTGTGTAATTGTGTAATTGGGAGCGTGTGATACAGTGATACAAAGCTCCCCTACTGTAAACGTGCAGACTACTGAAGACAGAGTGAACTGATTTGCGCACAGGGTTATAAATCGTGAAACCCCACAACAGTGTTAACAGATTAATGCGATTAGGGTTATAAAGTGTGAAACCCCGCAACTGTGTGATAATTAAGTGTAGCCGTTATTTGTAGATTGTTAAATAAACCCAGTTAACGATCTCTACGGCGTATTCTGTAACGTAAACACGTTACAATATATTTATCACAAAATCCATGGTCACCACTATGAATAACAAATATGCGTGCTCCGCGTACTACCAGTAATCATAATACACTATAACGACAACCATGTTAACCACACCAACCCTTGCCTGTTACTTGTTACATGATTTCTATTCTATTATTCTGTTTTCAACATTTTAGAAACAACAATTTGCCAACTACCACAAAGTTTAACAGCATGGCTTCTATGAGCAAACAAGACTTACTTGAGTTAGAGACGCAGCGACACCACCACTTGTAGTACCCACGTCGGACAGAGCCTTCGGCTAATTGTTACATTTTTAGATCGAATCCCCCTAGAGTTTTTTTCTCATTTTTATACACTAATTTTGCTGAAGCTGCAGTTGGCGAAAGAGGGAGGTTAACTACTCCCCTTTTTCTACATTTCGAGGTTGAGGGTTTCCATTGGCTAACCCCTACGGTGGTGGGCGGGTCCATGGTACCTCATCGCTGCGTATTCGATAAATTCGATGTTTTCATCCTCGCTCTAATTGCTATAAAACGCTTTCGCAAATCTCATAATATTTAGGCAATGTCTTTTGATTTTCAGTCTCGAAATTGCGGTGTAACAGTGCACAAGGTAAGTCACTCTTGCCAACCTGTTCCTTCTGTCCACGCCTGTATACCTGAAGAAATGGCTGACGAATATATAAGTGTCAGTGATGCTTTCAAATTGGTAGCTAAACCGTTTAACGGGGAAAAGACAAATTGAAAGAGTTTTACGAAAATGTCGATGCAGCTTTTGGACTAATTGACCCTGATAAATATGATTTATTGTACAAGTATGTACGTACTCGTATAACGTGCGAGGTGAGGGCAGAATTACTTGTTCGGCAAGATGCCGATGATGGGGCTAGTGTTAAGGCCGTACTGAAGGAGCACTATGCTACTAGGAGAACATTAGATTTTTTACGCTTGCACCATGTTCAATGCCCGACAAGCCAAACATGAAACAGTAGCTGCATGGTGCAGTAGGCTTGACCAGTTGAGTTCAGACTTCAGAGACGCGGCTACAGAATTCGCGACTTCATCTGAAATGTGCGGTATCACAAAGTTGGTATCCCAGTTAGGCAAGGCAGGTTTCATACAGGGGCTAGCGATTGAACGCATACAGACCGTTGTTCGTGCTATGAACCCTACACATATTACAGAAGCCGCTGAGATAGGTACTGAGAAAGAAAGCGCATTACTTTCTGCTCAAGAAAAGGTACATAGCGTATCTCAGTACAATGACCGAAGTAAGGATGTGCGTTGCAATAATTTCCGACGTTTCGGTCATAGGGAAACACAATGCTTCCTGACTGGCAGATCGAAAGAGGTGAAAGTGGCAGCTTCTGCAGAGAAAGTTTGTAATTTTTGTAATATGCTAGGTCATGTCGCATATACATGTTGGAAAAGAAAAAAGCGACATGGAAACTTTTCAGGAAATGAAAAACGTCGTGCTAGAGAACGGGCAGATAGGAAGTTTGCGATAGTAGCGGACAACAAACGGAAGGTGCTTGCCAAGACAAACAGTTACCGTGAAATTCCAGACACCGATAATCTGACTGACTTAGATTCAGATATGTATGTGAATTTAGCAAAACTACTACCACGGTCGGCCATTGCCGAAGGACGCCTGATGGTCGGAATGAGGAGCTCGCCCTCGAGGCTGTGAGTGTCAGCAATGCCGATCAGCATTTCAGTATATTACACGAAAAGAAGCTGAAATTTGTAGAAGTTAGGAATTCCGCCAGCACTGAGAGTGCCTGTGGTAAAACCAGTACATCGAATGGGGTTTCCAACCTAGAATATGACGATTTACAGGTCGACACGATCTCACGCTAATTGCGCGTGAATAGTAATAGCGAATGGGTTTGCGCCACAGGGTGTGAAACTGAGGAAAACCATGATGGTAGTGTTCTCATTACGGTGGCGGGCCTAGATGAACCGTTAAAGATGTTAGTCGGCACGGGGGCACAAACAACCGTTATAAAACGAGGGTTGATACCAGATAAAGTTCCCATTCGTACCGATAAGCAGTATGAAATTGCCGGAATAACAGTAGGTTCGATTAACACACTTGGGAGCGTGAGCTTAACCCTCCATGATGGTACGTATAAATTTAAGGTAGCGCCTGAGGAAATACAATTGACATAAGATGGCCTAATAGGCCGAGATATCTTAAAGGATTCGGTAATCCACAACAGGGAAGGATATATATGGATATTAACGGGCATCGTTATAACTTTGTTCTGAGAAACGACGAGCCTATGATTTTGAAACCGCGAAAGGAGACGATGGCAACAGTTACCGTAGACTTGGATAACGGACTAGGAATTGTGGATAAAGAAGAAATTTATCCCGGTGTGTACGTAGCCAGTTCCTTGTCTCAAGTTAACAGCAATAAGGCTATGGTGAGCATTCTGAATTCCACAGAGGAAGACATGGAGGTAAGGGATTTGACGCTCACCGCCACGAAGTGGAATGAACAGATCAGTGTACGGAAAATTAATTCCCAAATTCATGATAATAACGAAAGTGTGTTATCCCGCAAGAAACGGGTCAGAGAACTCATTTGGACAGACCACATGGCAGAGAATAACACAAATCTATTCTGAAAATCTGTGTGGATTTCAATGACATCTTTTATTTGGAAGGGGATACACTGTCGCACACTGACCTAGTTAAACACTCAATTCCCACTCCAGCCTTGGATGAAAACAGAGCGATAAACATTCGACCTTACTCTTATAAGTGTTGCGTTGGCTGGGTAGCGAGCCTGGTTCCAGCCGCCGAGAATCTTATAGCAATTTTATTAATGGTTCGTCGAGAGCTGTGTATCCTCGACGAGTGCTATGGTTGTGAATCAGGATGAGGGTGAAGTCAATCGACGTGGGTGGAATATGTTCAATGTCCTCAACACAGAAGATAGGATAGAACAACAGAATTTATTGTACCTTCTTGGTGACTACATGTCGTATCAAGCCGAGACTCGATCGCCGACCTCCTACCACTGGCACTACTGTGATACTAATTATCTCTCGCGACCGCGTTACAAACTTATAATATACAATGCGGTCTCAAGAGGGTCGTGGTGATGTTTACACAAGTGGCATGTGCGTGTGCTCCAAGTCCATCCACGCATGATGTCATCAGCTGTCTTAGAGAGGGCAGGTTGTCCCCTCATAACTAAATAATAACAGAACCCAGGGCACACACGCATCACCGGAAATAGCCTAATTACTTGGAGAGATAAAACATTTTTCCCTCTGTTAATACAAGTCAAGTACCTGTTCCCTCCGTCAGCAAATGCAGCTGTGCTATATTTGAGAATAACCTGCTATGCGTGGGTGTCAGGAAATCCGCTGTTACACCAAGTACATTAGCACATCTTAAATTTAGCATTTTCTTACATTTGTATGCATCACCGTCAAGACCAAGGTGCCAGATGTGGTCTACCTGTGAATATTATCATTGTTACTATTTTTATTAAGTCATACACATTATATTATAAAGAAAATGCCTAATATCAATGAAACTCAAAAGGATAAGTGTTCGATCCTCACGACATTACAGATTACCGGAAGCTCACAAGGAGGGAGTGAATAGGCAAATTAGGAAGTTATTGGATGACGGAATTATAGCGCCCTCCAGAAGCGCTTTCAATAGCACACTGCTGTGAGTACCAAAAAAGGCAGATGTCTAAGGAAAGGTAAAATGGCGAGTGGTGATTGATTTCAGGAAGCTGAATGAATGGACTGTCGGAGATGCTCACCCGCTGCCGAACATCACCGATATTTTGGATCAACTGGGTAAGGCAAAGTATTTCTCTACTGTTGACCTTGCCTCGGGGTATTATCAGGTTGAACTAGCAGACAAGGACTGCGCGAAAACTGCTTTTAGTACACCCGCGGGTCATTTTTAATTTCTTCGTCTCCCCATGGGACTGAAATCCGCGACGGCTACATTTCAGTCTCTTATGAATTCCGTACTCGCAGGAATGAACGGGTTACGATGTTCTTGTTATTATTACAGCAGATTCGCTGGAATCTCACAATGAGAGGCTGAGGGAACTATCTCAGAGATTCCGCGAAAGCAAGTTCAAGACTGAGCCATTCAAGTGTGAGTTCTTGAGGGCCGAAGTTCAATTCCTTGGTCACGTCGCCACTGACGAGGGGCTAAGGCCGGACCCTAGAAAGACGGAGGCAGTGCGAAACTTCCCCGAACCCAAGACAGTAAACAACTGAAGGGATTTTTAGGGCTCTCCTCGTATTACAGACGCTCATTCACAACTACAGTAAAGTGGCGAAACCTCTATATGAATTACTGAAGAAGGACGCGGTATACGACTGGAAGGAAGCACAGCAGAACGCCTTCCAGACTCTGAAGAGCTGTTAGTTACGGCTCCTATCTTAGAGTATCCGGACTTTTCGCGACCATTTCTTATTACCACCGATGCTTCAGGCGTTACCGCCGGTTGTGTGCTGAGCCAGGGAGAAATAGGAAAAGACCTCCCGATAGCATATGCTAGCAGGACGTTCAATAAGTCAGAAAGAAATTACAGCACAACCGACCGGGAAATGGCAGCCACTATGTGGGCTGTGAAACAGTTTCGACCCTATGTACTCGGGAGACATTTCGAAATTCTAACTGACCACAAGCGCCTTAAATGGGTATTCAATGTTAAGGACCCTAGCTCACGGTTATTAAGATGGCGACTTAAATTGGAAGAATATGACTTCACCCTACATTACCGGTCAGGTAAAACAATATCGCACGCCGACTTCATGTCTCGCACACACAAAGGAGATGCTAGTGAGGCCGCTGACAAGGAAGAAGTATCGAGGGGTCAGGAGTTGGCAGAGTCCGCTACCAGCGGAAAAAAACGAGATAGTCGGTTCCGAAGATTCTGGGAACCGTAGCGAACTTTCGAAATCCGAGAAAACGAGTATTGTAAGAGAATATTATGAATCTCTTATAGGTGGGCACACGGGAATCTCAAGAAATTGTGAACGGTTGAAACCCTACGTATGTTGGCCCAATATGCGAAGGGACATAGAAAATTACGTGAGGAAACGTGCATTGTACCAGAGGAATAAGCACAAAGTTCCTTACACGAAGATGGCAATGGAGGTGACTGACGCTCTGGATGCCCCTTTTGAGAAAACAAGGTTGGACTGTATGGGACCCCTGCCTTTTAACGGAACAAGGGAACACGTGCTTTCACGCGTGCCAGTGCCAACTATCCAAATAACTGGGTCATTGCGCTTCCAAATCAAGAAGCCGTACAGACAGCGAGAGCGCTAGTCGTTAATGTAATCACTGTGTTCGCGTCGCCGGGTTCGATTCTCACAGACTGCGCCTCGAATTTCACTGGAGAAGTAATGCGGAACTTATGCAAACTCTTAAGAATGTCGTGAATTACACAACACCATTTAGGCCTCAGAGCAATGGCAGCGTCGAAAGATCGCAAGCAGTAATTACAGAATATTTGCGTCATTTTACATGCCACGAGCAGGACTGGGATACACTGTTGCCAACGGCAGCATTCGTTTAAAATACGACTCCATACGAGCACTAAGTACTGTCCCTTCGAGTTGGTTTTCGGAAGAAAGCCTTCGATGCCGGGACTGCTACAAGGCCGACCCAGTTTCCCTAGCTACGACGAGAGAGAAGACTTCGTGAGCAGCCTAAAGGAGAGGCTGCGATACAGCCATGAGGTAGCGCGGAAGGCGCTAATAAACTACAAGGAAGTGTCTAAAAGATATTATGACCAGAAGGAAAATACGGTTACGTTCCGCGAAGGTGATCTTGTACTTCTGCTACAGCAACAGGTCAGAGAAGGTCAATCTAAGATACTTTCTTCCCCGTGGATAGGACCGTACACTGTGGTCGAAGTCACAGGCGTAAATTGCGTATTACGCTCAGGTACAAAGAGACGAACCTTCAAAGTGCACAGCAACAGACTGAAGCTTTACATTTAATTTGAGCTCGACAAGCGAGTCGAGACGTTGCTTTTGAGCGCGATGTGAGTCGCCGCCATCTTCGCCGTAGACTTCACAGTCGAGAACTGTGAGGACACGCCCGGACTGCACTATGATCACATCGGTCAGGGGCTACTATAACCGTCAGAATGGAAGCTTGTAGCATGTGTAAACATATCGAAATTGGAGACGACTTATAATACGCTTGTAGATTTTGTCGCTCAGACTAGAGCAATGTGTAAAGAATTGCCACCTGAAGCCATGTCAGTCGGACCTGTCCCTGATGAATCAGAGCGTATCGACAATTCATAGAACTAGGCACGTAATTTCTGAAATTACTAAGGATAAAGAGGAGGAGGTTTTTAATTTCGATAATATGTATACACGTACTAAAAGAACTAAAGAGGTGTTTTTAATTTTATTGGAACAGTTTCCAAAATTTTATTTGATACTTTGTCAAGTGAAGACGCTGATTATTGCCAAAACAAAATAAGCGAATTAGAGTCCGAGCAACTTTCAATGCTAAAGGTAGCCAAGGAACAAATGATTGTTGTGCGTTCCACATTGCAGACGGTAAATCACACATTAGTCGATATTGCAGCCATTGAACTGCAAATAAACGAGAACTCGAGAACAATGCAGAAGCAAGTAAATGAAAACGTGGAGAAGACAAACGAAGCGTTTTCGCAAACCACTCTTTTGATTGCAACTAATCAACAAATGATAATCATTGAACATTTAATTGATCGGCTGAAGGAAGGGTATGACACATTGTTATTTGCAATTATTTTTGCACAGAAAGGAATATTATCACCCTGGAGACATTATAAGAGCCTTTCAGGACTCCAATTCTATCCTTTCAAGTGACCTTTCCTTGCCTAACACCGCAAGAGTGGCTTATGAGCATGTATTCATGAAAATAATTGATATTGATGTGTTTCTAAATGACAATCTTTTGGGGTATGTCCTGAAGATACCCTTGGTGAACAGTGCTGTGTACAATTTATAGAAGCTGATTCCATTTCCCACGAAAATGAATAACAGTGAAAATACTTTTGTTTTCATTGAAAGTGAAAGCGACTTTCTTATGATAGATACATTGAAACAAGTGCATGTTAAACTGAATGAACTAGAAGTCGATGTGTGTAAGGTTATTTCGCCAGACTGGCATGTATGTAAACAGACAATCCCTGTACACCAGGAATGCGAGGTCAGGTTGTTAGAGCCCACTGCGGCAATTCCATTAGACTGCAATAAGAAAATCATTTCTCTTCATGATGTAACCTGGTTACCCCTCACTCATAATAAGTGGATATTTGCCAAATCATACAAGGAAAGGGTGATCACTATGTGTAATAACCTAGAACACAGTGACATATTTCTACAAGGTACAGGTGTATTATCAATGTTTGGCAGATGTGATGCCTTAGGGCCAAACACAAAATTACAGACACAAATTAGTTTCACAGGTAACAGAACCGATAAGGATTTTATTCCCAATGTAACACTGCATTATGATTGCTGTGAGCATTTAGGATCCAGAGTAAAGCTCGATACATTGAAATTCATACCTGAAGTATCATTGAAAAATATTTTAGGTCATTCGAATTTGTTTAAATACGCTGGTCTTTCTGTTGATCAGGTAGAACAGTTAATAATTCAAAATGAAGCTGAATTTAATAAATACCATTAAATTGATCATTTGAAATTCCTTTCCTACCTGGGAATAGCAACTATGGTAGCTGTTTCTGTAAAAGTGTAACTTGTTGAGAAGGCCCTTGGCCGATAACTGTTGTGGTTGAATCTGCATATGCCAAACGGTCATAAATCAAAGAGAACTCAAATCATCAGATGATTTCTTGAGGAGGAGACTTGCAGTCACAGCCTGCGATCACTCCCAGCTGCTACAAGTCTTGAGATGACAGAATTGGAGCCAGTACCAAAGGGAAGCAGCCATTCAGTGGTGCGCAAAACTTATAAACGTTGATGGTAGACCTATGTTTTTGTAATCTGTAGTATATATGGCCCATATTTGTGTTGGGAAACATTAGCACCTGTTTTTACAAATGTTTCCATCTTAGGTGGGGAGGTGTCGTAAAGGGTTGTACCACCCCTGTAGTTTTAGAAACCCTGAGTCTGATGTCTGGGGTCGTGCCCTCTACTAAAATCTATAGCGTTCCATAAGGTTGACCTGGTTCCACTTAAAAATGTTATATCTACCCCTGCCATTTTCATAAATGAGTGGAGTCCTGGAGTATTTCGTCTGGGACCTATCCTTCAACTCACGCTGGTGTAACTTGATATACGTGAAGGGTTCATGTCTCGAGACATTGAGCTGCAACCTTAGTTTACATTAGTTTTTAAGAACAAGGGAAGAGTTGAAGGGTGCATTTTGTCTGAGTTGTTGCTAGGAGACGGCTGGCCAGGCTTACTTCCGCCAGAGCTTGTATGCAATATACACACAGTTCAATAAATCCTCTATATTCTGTAGTGAGTATTTGCTCTTTGTGGTTGGAATACACGCTCAGACAACCAACTGACAAATCATCATCACTGAATTATTACGCTACCTCTCGGCCAACGTAATTCAGTCGACACACCAACAACTTGGGTCACGACACTACTTCCACATTTGAAAAATCTGCAGGGAAAGGATTCATGGTGAGTGAGAGTGATGTAAAGCAGAGTACAAAATAAAAATAGCGATTGACTACGGGCTGGGCGACCGAGGGGTCAGAGTTCAAGTAGAGGTAAGTTCTCCACGACGTCCAGATCGGTTCTGGGGCCCACCCAGCCTCCTATCCAATGGTTTTCAGGGATAAAGCGGCCGTGGCGTGAAGCTTACCACTCACCTCCAACTAGTGTCGAGGTCAAGAAAATGTGGATGTATACATCCCCTCCCTCATACTCGTTCATGCTTTACTTTAACTTTCCGGGCATTTCCATGATATTAAGCATGTTCACGTCAGATGCGTCCAATTTGTTTCTCATCCTTGAAAAGTAAACAGCTTCGTTGTTTTGCGACGCTTTAAATTCGAAACATTAGGTTCTGTGTTCCAGATGTGGTTTCAACAGTTCTCCATAGATGGTTCTGTTGCGTAGCCGAGCTGATCTCTTCGGGGCGTCACCATAAGACGTCGTACAATTATCTTCTTATAAAAACTTCCAATTAATTCGTAGGATAAGGACTCAGTCTTGACTAGAGTCGAAGGCGTTCGAAGGATGAAGAAAGTTAAGTGTAGAAAATAGTTTAATTAGACTTTCCAGTAATAGAATAAGTAAATCTTCCAGTACAATGTATGTATACTCGACCAGATGTTGGTCTCTCCCCTGTCCACACACTAACACTTACTTACATACTCACATTTTACAATTAAGTTCATGTATCATTTCTTAACATACAAGGATGTAGTGAGCAGTTCCATATATGGTCATATGATCTTTTGAACCCAGGCCAAGATACTTCTCAACCCTTCTGTCTAGTCATAACATGTGTTTGTGACGAACTTATCAGAGGTCGAGGTCAATATATAACTAACTTCTTACGGTCTTCATCAGTTAGGAAATATTCAGATTACGAAACTGGTCATGTACATGTTAACTGAAATAATCAAATTATCCCTTATAACTACTATTTGTTACCTATGCCATACTACGTCACACTACACTACACTACATTACAGTTCCATTAAGCAGCCAACTATGGAGAATTGTTAGAATTAACTGTGGAACCCATACTTAATTTCACTGAGCAAATTGTTTCAAGTGATAATGCTTGTAATTAGCTTGTTACCCATAATATCAAAATTTCTTGAAAAGTTTATCCTCAATAGAATTAATCACGACGCCAATCCAAATGACTGGATCCCTAACCACCAATTTGGCTTTCGACAGGCACACTCCACAGTACAACAATGCCACCGAATAGCTAATATAATCAACCAAGCTATGGAAAACAAACAATACTGCACTGCTGCCTTCCTCGACGTAAGCCAGGCATTTGACAAAGTTTGGCATCCAGGCCTGCTTTATAAAATCAGAAGAATTCTACTGGCCAAATATTTCGCAATACTGCAGTCGTACCTAACAGACAGAGAATTCGAAATAAAAATCAACGCTGAAGTACCCAACCGAAGAAACATACAATCAGGAGTTCCTCAGGGCAGTATCTTGGGTCCACTCCTCTACGTGCTATACACCTCAGATATACCGACCACCGAACTAACAAAAATAGGTACGTTCGCAGACGACACAGCAATTTTCGCTACGTCAGAAGACCCGGTAATTGCTTCATCTAATTTACAAGAACATCTGAATCTAATGGAGAAATGGCTACACCGATGGAAAATCAAAGTGAATGAAAGCAAATCGGCGCATGTGACTTTTACTCTCAGGAAAGGTAACTGCCCCTCAGTACACCTAAATCATGTTAACATTCAACAGCAGGATGTAGTAAAATACTTAGGACTACACCTGGACTCAACATTAAACTGGAAACACCATATAACGAAGAAGAGAAAACAAATCGAAATTAAGTTCAAGGAAATAAATTGGCTAATAGGTCGGGAATCTCACCTCACAATAGATAATAAACTGCTGATCTACAAAACAATAATTAAACCCATATGGACATACGACATTGAGCTCTGGGGATGCGCCAGCAGGTCCAACATAGAAATCATCCAGCGAAGTCAATCCAAAATACTTAGAGCCATAGTTGACGCACTTTGGTACGTGTCAAACCAAACTCTTCACACCGACCTCGAGATCCCATATGTAAGAACCGTAATCACAGACAGAATCCAAAAACATTATCATAAACTGGAATCTCACCCCAACAACGCAATAGAAGCTTTCCTTCAACCTACACAATACAGAAGACTAAGACGAACTTGGCCAAACGATCTCCAGGAAAACTGAGGTGTAATCGATGGTACAGCTCTTCAAGCCAACCTAGTACAATAGAATAATTATTGTACATGACAGCAAATTAGCTCATAGAATGTAAATTCAGGTTGCTAATAAATGATAAATAAAAAAAATAATGCTTGTGACTTCTATTCGGGAGGTGTCAGATGCAAACCTCGGCCGAGACGTGAACTCTTCTGGCTGGGAATTTACCTCAGTCTGAGTGTGCGCGTCCACGTGTTTGTTTGTGTGTGTGTAGGGGGGGGTTACAGGCGCGTGAGCTTATAGAAATATTGTCACGATCCAATGCAGTTTCCAATCCAACCACTTCTGACACCAGTTGTCACGTGTCTAAATGGATACAAACGTGGTTTGGATTCGTAATTGGATTTATTGACTACCTACAGCTCGTAACTACGAGTAACGATAGCGCTCTCGCTAACTTACACATTCTGCAGTTCACTACAGCACGTACTAGGTCTTAACGGTTTGTTTTCACTAGCGGTTTTCTGGTAACAGATCGTAACAATGTACTCTGCTTATGTCCTTACCGGCTGGCGAATTTCTCACAACTGACTAAACTCAAAAGTCTAAGTCAAAGCCAGAGTTACTTTACGACTGGCGGTTTACCGCCAATCAGTTCATCTTGGCTTCAGGCTCCTTGAGGACCACGGCCGGAGATTTTTTCAACTGAACTTTTGCGCTAATAATTCTTATGTAACACCCTCTCTGACGAGAAGATGGTTTTGTCTCTCATGAATATGCTTGGCTCTTCGTCAAGTGTATGTATCCACATATAGCATGTTATTGAAAATTCTTCCTGTTGCGAAATATAAAAGCCCTCTTCCTGTGCAGACTTGACAGAGCAGATCATGCCTAACTTACCTGTCTTATGCTACAACAACAGTTTAGTCGTTTGAAAGTTCGTGAGCCTAACCACCGCCAAGTTTAAGCCTCTTATGTTTTCTGTGTCTGGTTTCACCTTGTCCTCTAACGCGAACATGTTTTTTCTCATGATTTTGTATGACTTCTGCTTGTCGTCTGCACAATTTTGTTATATCGTATACATACGGAAAGTTGAAAGCTGTGTTCACGTCGCGGACTGGTGTGCACCTTGGATAATTTCGAAAGGTGCATAAAACCTTTTTTGCATGCTCTAAAATTTTAAGAGGTAGGTGTCTGTCGCTAATTCCAAAGCCGGACAATCATAAGTCAATGCTGATGTGATCATTGCCGTAATGAAGTTTAGAAGTGTATAATGTTAACGCTTAAACGCTCACTTCTGAATAGGGAGTAGATTCTAATAAATGTTCTGAAGGCCTTGGCTTCAATCATTTCTATGTGCAGTCACCATGTAATCCTCTTATCGAAGATTACACGGAGATATTTTACATGACTGACGAAAGGGATGTTCCTTCCAGTCAGTGTAACAGGATCCTCAAAGGGCCTAAATATTTGAGAAAGTAGATGGTCTGAGTCTAATTTTCATTGATTCCCTTGGCACGGACTGCATAGGAAATACTGTTCCTCTGTCGCTGTTAAATTTTTCCACAAAAGTGTT